GAAATGCTGTAGTTAGGGGGGGGGGGGGATACATGCAAAATATATAATTTTATATATTATTATTATGTCTCATAAAGATAAAAAATTAGTATATGTCATATGTGATATATATGAATATTTAGTCGAGGATAAGCATTTTTTTAAAGTATGAAGGAGGAGAATAAGTATAAATTACATTGTTTTTGTTTTATCATTGGGTCTCAAGTTATTTTATTGAAATAATGTGTTTCTTGTGAATTTAAGTGTTAAGAAGTACGAGTGTCGTGTCGTGTCGTGTCGTGTCGGTGTTAGACACGGTGTCGGATATGACACGTTATTTTCTTAGAAGTGTTCGTGCTTCTTAGGTCATTGGTCATTCAGGACTGGTAATGAAATCCCATTTAGTGGCTTAAATGCTTTGGATGGTTCTGTTTAAGAATGCTATTACAAATTTTTAGTGTTGCACTCATTGGTTTTATTTTAATCTTTACACTTTCTTTCTGTATTTATGTTTGAACCACAATCTTGTGACAATTATAGGGGAAATTTTGGTAAAGTAATATTTCCTATTGCTTCCTTTGCTGGTGGTGGAATGTGACCAAATCATAAAACTAGTATCTGCTGAAGCATTTATGTTACCCAAAAGACACATAGGGAGGCTAGTTCAATGCATTATTCTGTCAGGTTTCTGCATATGTGGAGTTTAATATTCAGTTGCCTGTTTCATGCATCTGCTGATTATTCTAAAGACACAAATGTCATATGCTGGGTGCTACTTAGTGAGCCACTAGAAACTCATTAGCACAATGTTTGTATTATTATATGGGGTATATTATTGAGATTAACATATTTTTGCTATCACGTTTGTTTCTTTCGGCTTGCCTAGAGTTTCTTACCATTTCTTTTAGTGAGTGATTTTGCATCTCTACTAGGAAAAGGAATTGTCCATCATCTCTGTTTGGAATGGCCACGTGACACTCATGGAAGTGGAAAAAAATTAACGTGCTACATAAATGAAATGATCTTTGGTGGAAGGAGGGTTATAATTCCTTGTTTTGTGCCCCCTTTGTTGGTTGTGAAATCAATGTAATATTGTAGTTTTTTTTGCTACTTTGTGAATTAATTAATTAATTTTTAGATATTTGGCTTAAAATATATTTTATTTCAAAATTTACATGTATAATGTATTAAAACAAACACAACTATTTTTATTGTAGCATAAAGCGAGAGCAATCTCAGGAATGCTAGGGTAAGGACCTTGATAACACCATGAGATCACAAGCATTTGGTAAGTTGGGTTTCCTACCAAGGTGCCTTATTCTTCTTCTAGTTCTGCACTGCAGGCTTAGATTCCATATTGACTTTGGATCATTTGGGGATGAGGGTTAGATGCTTTCTAATTAGTGCTGCATGGGGAGGAAGGCAAATTAGTCTGTCAATCACCTTTTGTTGCATTGTGAAGTGGCCATGAGATTCATGGGTCTCACTTTTTCTTTTTGGAGTTTTTTGGGTTACGCTAGATTCAGTGCTCTCATTATGAGAGTTGGAAAGGAGGATACCGATCTAAAGGGTTAAAAATATCTTGAACGGTGGTGTCTTTGAATTTAATGTGGTGCATATGGAGAGAATGAAACAGCCTACCTTTACGCTATGTTTGGTTGGGAGATTTGGGGAAGGTTTTGGAAAGGGAAAGGAAAAAGGTATGTGAAACTAAGTGAAATATTGGTATATTTTATTCACATTTCACCTACTTTTTCCATTTCCCTTTCTAAATTCATTCTCAAATCCCCCAACCAAATACAACATTAATGATGTAGAGTACACATGGACTTGACTCTTCTACATTGTTTAAATTTTTGGCTTGAGGCGAAAGGCGAATTTTTGTGAGTTCTTTAGCTTTTGTTGACTTTAGAAGGGAGTTTGAGGGGTGAGAATTTGAATCTTTAATTGATGTATTGAGGTTTGAATGGTAACCACCAACCAGCATGGTCAAACACCCGCCAATTTCGATGATTGATGGGTTAAAAAAAATCCCACCCACCAAAGGTGGTTTGGTTTGAATATTATTCTCAACCCAACCCATGCACACCCCTAAAGGGAGTTAGTTTTTGTAGATGGCTTATAGTTTATATAGAGTTATAGAGGTTGTGCCCCTTTTTGATGTGTTTAATGAATTTATCCATCTATATCTATAGAAAAAGAAAAAGAAAACACTATATTGTCCAAAGGGTCTCAAAAGCAGCTATGTTTACTTGTATATACACAAGACCGGATGTATGTACATTTAAATGATCTATAACCATGCTACTGTATATTTAAATGAATTATATGTATTAATATTTAGCATAAAACTCAAACTAAGCAGTTGTTTTTGTTACCTGATTGTTTGCAGTCACTTATGTGAAGTCCAAGGCAGCAAGTAAAGGCCCTTGCTCGAAATCATAGGTGGTTTTAATTTCTTTTTTTAATGTGTATGAATATTTCTTTTACAAAATATCACAGAGAGATACTTGGACAGTTGACCTCTGCTTTGATGCAGCCCTAGGTTAGCAGATTTTCCTCTCCTAATAGATTTTGAAACAACTCAATTGTTTTGTAATATCTTAGTGAAAACATTGGAGTTTCGGTATTTCAATGGAAACAGACCAAAATTTTGTTCCCCTTTTGGCATGGCTTGGCTATTCTTTGGTGGCTCTTCAAGTGAGACAACTGGACTAAAGCAATTCATGGTGTGAGTTATTTGGGATTGGTGAAGGTTTTACTGGTTTTTTAAACACCCCCTCCTGGTGATCACAGTTTTGTGCTAATAGATAATATGTAAATGTTTGATTGGGCTTGCAAGTTACTTGCTCGTAAATTAAATAGCGAATCCCTCAATGTTACAAGTTAAAATTTTGATATAAATAAATCTTGGAATGCATAGAAAAAGATGTTCTGTTGGTAAGAGATGTGTGTGTGCTTGGTTGTACTCGACAAGGTCTTGCCCTAACTCTCTGTTATTGCTTCTGTATCTGTGGTGCTTTCTTGGCAAATTGACTATGTTTGGGTTGTTGAATCAAATGGATGTGCGTTTTATGTTAATTATGGTTTTTTCTGCCTTCTTGAACACATTTTGTTTGAAATGCAAGTACTTAGTGGTTCTGTCTGTGTTACAGGTTACAGTGAATGTTCTTTGCTTTATCTGTAGCTTGAAACTACAGGGAAATCTATGGTTTAATGAGTCTAAAACAGCACCCTCAATAGTGTGCTTGAAAGTTTTACCTTAGCTCTCGTGACTGTGAATTGGCTAGATGAATGGGCTGCAGCAGATTGCTTTGGATGGGTTTATCATCATTTGTATGTCTCTGAAACGCACAAGTATACAGTAATTTACTTCAGTGGTGTTGTCATTAATTTGTGCTATTTTGTTCATTTGGGATAGTAATCAATTTCCAAGACTCTGTGGAATCATAATTATGTGGGCATTTTTTCTAAAACGGTTTTCAGTATTAATATTGACAATAGCACCTTTCCACTTATGTTAAACATGTGGGATAATTGCAATATTTTACAGCCAAACCAGATTTTGAAAACAGATCTTGAAAATTTAATCATTTTTATTCTGGTGAGGGGTCCATGACTTGGATTAGGGAAAAAGTTTGGAAGGGGGACTAGGGCAAGAGTGGAAATCATAGATGTAATTATTCACACTGGCTTTATAGAACTGCATACATAAGTCTGGTTCTACGCTACCTAAATTTGGGCGTGGGTTGTTCCTGGTTTATTGAAGTGCCTTTTTTGATGTTGCACTAAAATATCTCATGCATGGAAACTAAAATTCCAACCTGATGATATTCTATGTTGTTCAAAAAAAAAAAAAATAAATAAATAAAAAAAATTGGTGATAGTCTGGTTTCTTGACTATCTTCTTGATGGTTTTAGAACCACTAAGAACTGTGGTGTTGAATCGAGGTTAAGATTTGTACGAACGCAAATGGTTACCACCCCTAAGAATTGGCCTCCTCCACTGCGTATCTCAAAGAGTGTGGACTTGGCCAATAATCATAATTGGGAGCCTTTAATCAGTTTTTTGCAATAGAGTTTCTGCCTTGGCCAATATGATTCCTTGAGGCTTTAGGGGTAGCTCCAACCTGTCATATTTATTGCTTAACACCATAGACAAATTTTTTATATTGTTGTAGGGCAACATATAATTTTGATTTTTTTTATATTTTATATTATTATCACTTTACCTATGCTACCCATTTCTAAAAGAAGGTTACTTTGGGTTTGGTTAAGTGTGTAAACAAACCCATATGTTGACGGGAACTTCTACCAATTTGTTTTGTCAACAAAGGTTAACTGAAATTTGTATTTTGGTGTTAGGATTGTGAGATGAGGTTTTTGTAAATTTCTTCTTTTTAAACGTACATGCATATATTAGAAAATAATAATAATCAATTTCCTTTATGAGCGAGTGTTGATGCTGCTTTCATATTGTTTCAGGATATGAAATGCAGATCTCCGTAAGGCAGTTGATTACGGGGCTGTTTTCTATTTCAACTTTTGCCTACTTGTTGGAGATGACAAATTACTACTGATTCATGCATAATCTTGTAGATAGCTCTCGGTCGCAGATGAGTTTCTCCTCTTAAAAACTGTAAATCAGTTTATTGTTTATTTGTTTTTGTGGCATTTTTGGAATACTCCCTTGTACGGACATATACCTCATTTCTTCATTATTTGATGCAATATACGAATCAGATAATTCAACTCCAATGTTTTTCAGGTGTTCAGTAAACTTTTTTGCCTCCTGTGTCTATTAAACATGGATGCATATTTTACTTTCCTGTTTAAATCATGAGAGACTAAGAAAAACTGTAATAATTTGTCGAACTTATCATGAACATCATTCATTATAGCTGAGTTGTATGTTTACTGCCGTGTTTCTTGGTTGGGGAGTAATAGTGAACACAGTTTTGGACTCGTTTCAAAAATGTTGAAGAGATTGATCCCAACCTATCGTTGAGCATTCAAATGTGCTATTTGGGCGGCCAGTAAGAGGGTAGATATCAAGTGCAAGCTGTGTGGCTTGAAATGTGTGTGAATAAGCAACCTAATTTATGCCCAATTATTCAGTGATCCATACCCTTAACAGAATATCGGGTCATGACTAATGAGTGGCCTGTAAATCCAAATGCTGGAATTAATCTGCTTTATATAAATATTGGCTAATCCAGATAATAATTTTATCACAACTAGCCTCGTTTGGGAACGGGCTTTTTTGTAACTTTTTGGTTAAAATATGATGTAAAAAAAACTAATATGTTTAGGATGACTTTTTAGTTTTTTACGAAAAAATGTGCAAAAAGTAGAGAAAAAAGGGAATATTTGACTTTTGGTATAGGTTGTTGATTTTTTGATTTTTTTTAGTATTTTTTTAGCTTTTAGGCTAAAAAGTGATGTTGCCAAACAAAGCGCGATCTCTATACGAGTAAAAGGGCTTTTTTGGATGGGTTTTCTGCAATGCTTGTATAAAAGAAGAGTCGGTTGTTACTTGTCATTCTGGAGTTTATTAAATTTCAAAAGTGCATGTGCCTAAATGATGAGTGAGAGTTTGAAATCATGATTGAAGTCACTGATGGCAAGTACTTAGTAGATCATTCATCAAATGCAAATGTAACTACGCTAACTAGTTACTGCAGTGTGCTGATAGTGGGTTCAATGCCGCCGCTGCTGCCATCACCACCAGTGGCAGCTTCATCTGCATGTTCTTTGTTTTGTGCAATTATTGTATGCCAAGTGCTTTAAGTTCAGATAGATGAGAAAGATATAAACCTCATTCTTTTAATTATTATCCTTTTTTTGTTTCTTCTTTTTTTCTCCCCTCTTTTTCACTATCTTTGGGCGCAGGATTAATCAAGTAGTATCTCTATTTGGACTTGCTGTGACTGGAGGTTTTTGGGTCTTTGGTACGTGTTTCCTTACCCCCACCTCCTTATATTTCTCAGGTGTTCAATTTTTTGTTACTGTGCCTGCTCCCCCACCCTTATGGCTTGTATTGGTGACAAGAGATGGACTTCTTAACCAATGGGAAAATATCTAATTAATAAAGAAGAAAAAGAAAAGAAAAGAAAAGAAGGGTTGAAATATGTATGCATGTATATCCCTTGTAAAGAGAAGGGTTGTACTACAACAATACCATGAAGGTTGTACTTGGAATTGGAAAGCAACATTGGAATTGGAAATGGAAAGCAGCTGTAGATAGATAAGATTCTTATTTCTGGACCACAAATCACTTCCGTCACAAAAAAATGAAATTCTCCTGAACAAATTAAGCCCCCTTTGAGTGGGGAAGCATTACTTGATGATGTTGGATTTACAAAATGAACCTACACAAGTTATAGCAACTGAGACTTTTTTTTAAACATATCAACTTAAATCAATTTTTAATTCCAAGGGGCTAGCCCGATTACAAGTTGAGCAACAATAAAGGGCCTCAAGAAGCCTATGTCACAGAGTTTAAATTACGTGAGGCGCTTGACACACTTGGGGTTACTCAATGGCCTGTGTGCTGGTATCTATGGGACCAGTACTTAAAATCAATTTACATTTATTTCTTTATTTGACTTTTTCCACTTGAATCAATTTTCATCTATTATCAAAATCTACAATCAGACACAAAAAGTAACAAATCATCTATTCTATGGTCAGTTAAATTTTGCATGTTTGTTCAATGCCCTTCACATTCTTATAACAAAAAATTTGTGACAAGATTAGATAAATTAACTAGTACGACTGGGATTCTCGTAGCTCCTGAAATAAATGTGCCACAGCTGCTTTGGAATTTATTTTTTTTTACAAAAAAATAAAAATAAAAAACAGTTTGCTCCTTTGGATGTGTTTTTCAGAGAGAGAGAGAGAGAGAGAGAGAGAGAGAGAGAGAGAGATGGTAATTTGGGAATATGACCCCCTACAACTCCCAAGCAGGTAGATCAAAGGGTTGAATTAATTAGTTAGGTTCAAGTATATTACAAGTGGTTGGGTGTAGGGATGGCCATTTTTTTCCACACTGCACAAATTTTCCCCGCCCCAGCGGGTTATGCTTCTTCCACCCGAGATTATATTTATTAAATATATTTAGTGAGCCGCTATTCTCACTCTACTTTGTTCTGAATACATTTATTTTTGTCTTTATTAGACATAGTTACATTAATACCCTTTCACACAAAATACAATTCTTGAATTTCAAGAGTTGTATTTTGTGTGAAAGGGTATTAATGTAACTATATATAATAAAGGACAAAAAATAGAGTATTTGGAGCAAAGTGAAGTGGGAATAGCTCCTCCCTATTTTTATTTGTAAATAATGTATATATATTCTTTATTTTTATTTTTTCAATATAATAAGATTAAACCACTAAAATACTACACTTACCATTCATTTTCACTCATTTAGTTTTCATATTACATAGATTAATATTCATGATTTATAAATTATTATTCATAATATATTATATTATGTCTAATTATTGTTAGTATTTTCATTTTTAAAGTTAACAAATTAATCCTCCCCGCTCCCGCTCCACCCCTGACACCATTCCGATTTGCCCACCCCTCATATGAAATGGGGCGGGAGTGAGGGACTACAAACCAATCTCAAACCCACTCTATGGCCATCCCTAGGTGGGTGGGTGGGTGAGCGGGTGGGATGGGGAGGGTTTGGCATATATGAGAAGCTAAGGGGGCTCGTCAACTGCTTTGCATGCAAACGATTGTTCGGTTACAAGAGAGGAGAGGACCATTAATTTAGATGTTGCCAAGCCAATGTCAAAGCCAAAGCCAAAGCCAAGGTCATATCCAGTCATCTGTGTGTTACTACTAATGTATCCGACCTTAGCTCAATGGGAAGAGTGAAAGGGTTAAGGAGAGAACAAGGCCTGGTTTAGCCTGGCAAAACCTGCTTAATCCTTTCTGGTTGTCGGTTCGAATCCGGCAGGTCGGTGTGGTTGTGGTTGTGGTGATCTCCCATCCTGTCCTCTCCTCTCCTCTTCTCTCGAAATAATATTAAATATATTGTATATTTAATTTTAACACTAGGACAATTCTACATTTTGAGATTCCATTACTGGGGAATCCAATAATAATATTGGGACAATTCTTCCAATATTTCATCCTTTTGATTGGATTTACGGTTGAATTGATGATGATGGATAAGAGGACGAACAGTTTTCAAACAGGTTATATAATAGTATAGAAAATCATCTCCATGAGTGAGGGGGGAAACAACAAATTATTGGACTGATGGAAATAGGATTCATAAGGGGTGTCTTTTTATTTTTATTTTTATTTTATTTCCTTTCCTTGGCTTCTGAAGTTTTGGACACTTAGGCCATGTTTATTTGGGCGGACTGGATTAGTATTCCCATGACTAATAGTCCTAGGACTACGAATCCGTTGGATTATGTATCCTATCTTAACTAATAGTGAAGTTTAAAATAATTAGTCCGTACTTCAATTGTTTAACCAAACATTATTGGACTATTAGTCCAATCCCAAGCTCATGTCCACCCAAACAAACATGACCTTAAAGTGGTAAGGGTGGGCATTTATGTGTTAGTATTGTTTTTCTTAGGAAAGCTCTCTAATTCTTTTTTCTGTTAATTGGATGGTTTTCATTTCTTGGTATGATCGATCATCTTTTATTATCATATTATTATATGTTATTGCTGCTTTTTTATTTTCTGATTATTTAGAATTTAGAATCTGGTTTAAGTAGAGTATTAATATGACTGCATGTTGATGTTGTCGACTCCCCCAAGACAAAATGCAAAACAGTAATAGTAGATGCACTCAAAATTAGAATTACACGGAATGCATTGTGTGGCTGAAATCTGTATTGAGTGTGATGTGTGAGTCTTATTTAAAATTAAAATCATAGTCACATAATGTATTTTATGTGCATATATTTTGTGTTTTAATCCTGTACATTTGAAACCAAATATTTTTTTGTTAGCTATGGCGTTGTACAAATAAATTTAACATTGTTAATTCATTGCATCCACTGTTTTATCACTTTTATGCTAATTAAGAAATGCAATAATTCCCAAACTAAAATAATTGAGATTAGTTAGTCTTTGCACATTACGGAGCCATGGGAGGGTCCTGAGATTAGTTGAGATGTGCACACGCAAACTAATCTGGACACCCAATTAAAAAAAATGAACATCAACATTCGTAATGCCTGTATGGATCAGGCCTTGATCGATAACAGACATTACATTAGTTGAAAATATATGAGAAATAATGTAGGAATATATAGGACCTAGACAATTGTGGAGCTACGCATTCCTTGTAATTCTGTGTTAATATTACAAGTTGAAGTTGGACTCTTTTACACTCTGTTTGAATTAAGAGATGAGAAAAGAATAAAGAAAAAAAAAAAAAAATGATTACAATTTTTCACTTAGGTGAGAAGAAAAGAAATGATTGTGGTTTCTCATTTTTTTGTTTGGATGGACTATGATTAAAAGAGTAATTTTGGTTTCTCATCAAGTCTCATCACTTTTGAGAAGAAACAAAACTTAAGTTTGGTGTAATTTAACTTTCTCACCATTTTCTCTTTATTTTTTACAATCACTCCATTAATCATCCAAACAAGTGATAAAAAAATCTCATTCTCTCCATTTTGTTTCGTCTATCACCAAATCCCTCAATCCAAACGGAGTGTTAAGCTCCACACTTTCTCAATTCTATTTATTTGCTTTTTCCTTTTCCTGTGTATGCTATGTTTGGATCTTGATTTTGTCATCGAAAATGAATTTGCTTGTATACATTATTTTTTATTGTAACTAAACCAAAAGAAATATAGATTAAAAAAAAAAAAAATACATCAATATTTTTTGCTATCATTTCTATGTCGTTCTTTTGTATTCCATAAATCTAAGATCCAAACAGGTAAAAGGATATAGGGGTACGTGTTTGATATCATGTTTGGTAATGGGTGTATGATAGAACAAATGTACTAGGACTTAGAACTTAAAATAAACTCTCTATAAAAAAATAAAAAATAAAAAATAAAATCATTAAAAAAAAGAAGAAAAAATTAAAATAATAAGGCTAGCAAAAAAATCAATTGTTTGCATTTCACTTCGCTTATCATAGAACATAGAACATGGTCAGCAAATTGAGTTTTAAAAATTCATTGTCAATCTAAAACCAATTTACCTTAAATAATCTCACACAAACTATATTCTTACGGTCTCCCATTTTGTTGTCCTCTCTCTCTCTCTCTCTCTCTCACTCACACAAACACACTAAATTTTTTTTAATTCAAATTAGATCTTGCTTTCTCAAGCACACCTGTGAAAAGATTAGTGGTTTTTCCTTAACTGTGGCTACTTTTTTGGGAGCTTTTGTATTTTGTTGTTTGGTCCTTTGGGACCTTGTTGATGTTCTTTTTCATGTATGTTATTTATTTTATTTTAATATAAATATGTTTTTTTCTCAAGTAATTTATCAATAAGTAAATAAATAAATGTGTTTTTCTCAAATAATAATAATAATAATAATGATCTACAATTGATCTTGTATGTCTTGCAGATTTGCTTAAGTGATTCTCTTAGGCTTTTATGATCTATCTTTGATAGTAGTGTTCATGGTGTTGGGTTTTTTTTCAAAAGAATTGGAGTATGGTTCTTAATTCTACTCCCCAATGTGCCATGCAAACTCAGTTTCTTCCTCTCTCTGCATCCACAAAGCCATTGACAAGTGAATTCGATCTTTTTTTATGAGGCATCTCCACATCTAAATGGCATTCTATCAATTGGTCCACTCTTGCCTCACCCAAAGCCATGGGTGGCATGGGCTCGCCAAAAACTCATCACATTGCCCACTTTGTGCATCATCTAGCGTTGCTGCTTTAGGCTCACCCAAATACTTTATGGGCCCAACAAATCTTCATATCCAAATATTTCACAGGTTTTTTTCTGGGTGGCTCAAGCCAAAACCATTCTCAAAGCACGAAATGGACTTTTAGATGGTAACATGGGAACAACTTCAAATCAAATATGTGACCAATAGCATCTAGAGCCCTTTCACCCCTATCCTGTCCCAGCAAGCACTAGACATCCCCCTCTGTCCTTCTCTTCTTTTGGCATGCCACCTGAATATTTAATTGTAGCCTATCCCACAAAAGACTCTAGGTCCTTGACGCGTATTGTGGCTTCACTGGAATCCCATGCCATCCCATCCCATCCCATCCCATCCCATGCCATCTATATGCATAAAGCTTAATATGGAAGGTTGTGCCTTAGGCCAACCATGAAATTTGATATTGCAGGGAGTTTTCACAATCATTTAGGCTGTTGGCTTCTTGGGTTTTGCCCAATGTCTAGGCATGGCCACGAACATGGTGGCTAAATTATGGGCCATTCGTACAAGACTTATATTGGCCTGGCAATAAGGCTATTGTTACATGGACTTGGAAGTCGATTTTCATGTTGCCTATGTCATATATGTTGTTTTCCTCCTCTCATTTCACTTCACCTTGGCTACAACCCTTTCGTTTCTTATTGCAGGTCAATATTTGGGCCTAACTGGCACATCCATCTCTTGCATGTCTACCTGGACGCAAATGTTGTTGCTATTGTGTTGGCAAAAAATGTTGTTTCACTTGTGCGAGAATCTCATGTTACATATTAGGCCTCCGTGTTTTATTTTGCTTTTTGTCCAAAATGACAATTGTGGGATGGCTACTCCACGTTGTGTAGCCAACTATCTTTCTAATCAAATAAAGTTCGCCTCTTGAATAATATATATATATATATATATCTTGTATATTCCCAAGTCACAAAAACATTGCTTACATAAAACCTGGTCGTACTAACATTTTTGTTGAAGTTTAGGCATCTCACTATATCATGGTGATCTTACCGCACAACTGATTGTCAATGGTGTTACATTGCAACATTCACGTGTACGTCAAGGTCCTCAATCCACATTGTGTGGGAGTTTGCAATGGCAATGAGGTGGGTTTGCGGCGGATTTGTAGTGTCTTAGCTCTGGTCTTCATCATAATGGGAGCGGGGCAAATCAAAGAGGGGGAAGCATGTAGGGGTGGATAAATTTTGTAACTTTAAGAATGGAGATACTAATAAAAATCAGAAATAATATGATATATTATGAGTAATGAGTTATAATTAATAAGAATTAAAATGTAAGTTGAGAAATAAAGGAGTAAAGATGAATATTAAGTGGAATATTTTAGTGTACTATTATTATATTAAAAAAATTAAATTAAATAGTATATATAAATATATTTAATAAATAAAATTGGGTCGTGGCCAAGATAGAACGGGGCAGTGGAGTAAAAACACATGCCCGCCTCACGTCTTCATTGGTAGGGGTGGGGAGCTTCTATCTACACACACCTAATCCCCTCTATACACACATTTAATGATATTTAATTTTATTACAATTTTATCCCTAATTGAAATTATTATTTTAGACATCTACCCAATTCAAAAGTCTCAATGCACACATCCAGACTTCACGTTGAAGCTCCAACTTCAGCTTCTTCCATTGAGGTAGAAGTGAATGCACTCATTCATTAAGCTCCAAGTTCAGCTTCTTTCATTGAGCTAGAAGTGCTCATTCATTAAGCTCAAAGTTCAGCTTCTTCCATTAAGGTCCAAGTTCGTAGCTTCTCAACCTTCCTCATTCGTAGCTTCAACCTTCCTCATTCGTAACTTCTTCCTCATTCATCATTGTTATGGAGGATTTGCCGTTTGAAAATCAGCAAATAAGTGTTTATGTGAAACAGAGCAAAGGAAATGTGAGTTTCATTTTTTTTTCCAGCGTCGTTCGAATAACCAGAGTCGAATTTTGTTATTTGGTTCGGAAATCTAGTACCGAAATAATTATTTATTTTCGGAAGTTGTTGTCCGAACAAAGTAATAAATTTCAGAAGTTGTTGTCAGAACAAGGTATTTAAATTCGAAAGTTGTTGTCCGAACAAAGTTAACTTTTACAACATTCAACTTCCGAAATTTGAAAATAAATTCGGACAACTACTTCCGAATGAAGTAAATTTTTTTTTTTCCCATTTTATATTCCAAATTTGCAAACTGCATACCAAATTTACATTTCAAATTGCAAATTAATCTTTATAATGCCATTAAAAATTTGTAATGTTATACAAAACATGCAGGAATATGTGTCAACTCAAGGAAGCAAGGTTTGCGCGGATTTTGTGTTAGATTACACCACTCAATTCACAACTGAACATGTTCACTCTGCGAAATTATAACGATTATGTTTCGAATTGCTCACCAAATGTAAATGTTTGATAATATTTATTTAACTTTGTAGGTATTCAAAAGTAAGGATGAATTACTCAACTGGGTACGTGAAGTTGGAAAGAGAAATGGTTTGGTCATTGTAATGAAAACATCAGACTATGGTGGGGGAAAAAAAAGACCCACGATGTATCTTGCTTGTGAGAGGAGTGGCCAATATAGAGCAACAAAGAAGTTAAAACATGATGGCAACAATACATCAAGAATAACCGGTACGAAGAAGTGTGGTTGTCCTTTTGATATGAGGGCTCACAGGTTTACCACACATGATGAATGGACATTGACCGTAGTATGCGGATTGCATAATCATCCACCTGCGGAGCACCTTGAGGGACATTTATATGCGGGGAGGCTATCAAAGGATGAGAAAGCATTGTTAATGGATATGTCAAAGAGCATGGTTCGGCCAAAAGAAATCCTAGTAACCTTGAAACAGCGAGATGCCCTCAATGTAAGCACACTTAAAACCATTTACAATGTACGCCATCGAAACAGGGTGGTACAGAGAGCTGGAAGATCACAGATGCAACACTTATTGGGTGAATTGACCAAGTATAATTACATTGAGCGCCATCGGTCTGAAGAGTCCACGATGACTGTGACAGACTTGTTTTGGGCACATCCTACTAGTTTGGACTTATTTCGGTCTTTCCCACGTATATTAATTATGGATTGCACATATAAAACCAACATATATCAGCTTCCTCTTCTTGAAATTGTGGGAGTGACATCAACTGAAATGACATTTTCTGTAGCTTTCGCATACTTACAGTATGAGAGGGTCGATAACTATGCGTGGGTGTTAGCTACATTGCGTGATGTCATGGATGGGTTTGTTGTGCCAACAATTATTGTTACTGACAGAGAGCTAGCCTTGATGAATGCCATACAGAAGATATTCCCGAGTGCCAGACATTTATTATGTCGTTGGCATATCAGTAAGAATGTGTTGACCAAATGCAAGAAAATGTTTGAGACACAGCAGAAATGGGAGAAGTTCAACCATGAGTGGAACTCTGTAGTGTATTCATTTTCTGAAATTCAATACGATGAGCATCTTAAATCATTACTTAAGGAATTTAGTAGTTATCCTGATGTAGTGAAATACGTCATGGATACTTGGTTGGTTCCTTACAAGGACAAATTTGTGGCGGCATGGACAGACACGTGTATGCATTGTGGCAATGTTACAACGAACCGGTAAGATTACTTTTCTTCAATATGTTATTAATAAGTGCCATGTACTTGATTTTAACTTGACTTACATTGAATTCAACAGGGTTGAGAGTGCACATGCAAAACTTAAAAGACAATTGGGTTTATGTCAAGTCTCATTTCAGGTATCATTTGAGAAAATACACAGTCTGCTTGAGTTGCAACACACTGATATCAATGCTTCATTTGAGAAAAGTCTAACTGTTGTGCAGCATCAATTTAAACCTTCTCAATTCAGGGAGCTACGGGGTAATGTGTCTATCTCTGCATTGGAGTATTTGCTTGTAGAAAGTAAGAGAGCCAATTCCATTGGTATTGATGTTGAAGCTTGTGGATGCATCCTTTGCCACACTTATGATTTACCTTGCGCCCATGAGATTGCTGACTACATCAGACAAGATCGTCCTATACCACTTGCTACCATACACTCATAGTGGAGGCAACTTCATATCTCCATATGCAAGAAAGAAGAGGAAACAGAGGTGACTTGTCATGCAGAAGTAGAGTTGTTTGTGAACAAGTTTAATGAAAGTGATAGAACCATGCAGTTGGAGCTTTTGAAGAAGTTAAAAGAGATTGTATATCCGGGAAGCACTTTTCTTGTTGAGCCGGAGGTGAAGCCCAAAACACGTCCTCGGGATCATAAGAAGATCAATGTTTTTACCCGTCGTGACCCATGTGTATTTGAGTTAGTGCAATCTGGACATGATTCCTTCTCACCTAGGGACACTCAAATCACTACATTAGCTTCTACTCTGCAAACCAAGAAGGAGCGACCTGTTAAGGGAAAGGAGAAGGTGAATCCGAAAGGGAAGGTATACATTTCTAGAACAGTGAAACCTGGTGCATATGTTGATGCTTTCTCTGCTGGGTTGAAACCATACATTAAGTTTGTCTAGGATGTAGCTGCAGATGAGAATTGTGGTTTCAGGGCTATAGCTGCTTCAATTGGTCATACAAAATATGATTGGGCTCAGGTTAGGCGTGATCTATTGGGTGAGCTGCACACACACAAAGAGGAATACATTACACTTTATAGGTCCTATGAAAGGTTTGAAGAATTGACAAGCATATTGTCATACTTTGAAGGCCGTCTTGGATACTCACATTGGATGACTATGCCAGACATGGGGCATCTTGTTGCATCGTGCTACAATCTTGTGTTATACCACTTGTCATTACAGCAATGTCTCACCTTTTTACCTCTTAGAACAGTGCCAGTACCTCAACTTGATAGACGTGAGATTGCCATTGGGTTTGTCAAGGGAAATCATTTCGTCCAGGTATAACAGAAACTTATCAATTGGGTTTGTGCATGTACAAGAAGTTATGAGGTATGACTACTAAGTCAATTGATATTTGGTGCAGGTTTTGTTGCAGCCAGGTCATCCAGTTCCTCCTATAGCCACTAATTGGAGAAAATACCGTCACCCTTGCGCTGTCGATAGGGATGATGCATATGTGCGTCGCATTCAACATTTCAAGGACATTATTCACGATAATGTAGCTACTCGAGAGACATTTGATGTTGTTGATGTCGCATGACACATGTATGCATTTGACAATGTTAGAATTATGGAAGAAATTAATGGATGTGTTTTTGATGTTGATGTGTTCTGTTTTGCAATATGGATTGAATGTTATCAACCATTGTTACCATTCCATTGTAATAAGAAAATATCATTTACAAAATCAATGACCATTGTTAGCATTCCATTCTAATAATAAAATGTCATTGCAATGTCATTACAATACCATTGTTGCCATTCCATTGTAATAAAAAAATGTTAACCACTGTTACCATTACAACAATATCATCTTACAAAAATCACCAAAAAAAAATTCATCAACTACTGTTAACCACTGTTACTATGCAAGGATCTTGGAAGGGTGATTATGACACTTTAGGGGCCCTCGTTCCTATAACACAAATGATATCTCATTTGAAACTACCATACAACACACAAAAAAAAAAAAAAAAAAAAACTCATATACAAATGAATTTCACTTTTACTGAGGAATGTTTACCTCCCTGTGCCAAATAGCTGCAGCCACATGACTATTGAAACTCCGCAATATTGATGGATCAGACGGTCCACTTGGAAAAGCATAAGTAAGGTACTCTTCCTGGACAGTAGGAGAATCGGGTAAAGAGGCATCCTCCACAGCAATGTCAGGCATATCATCACCTTCAACTCGTCTTTGGCTTCGGCTTCTACTTTGACTGGCACTGGGGATATCATATTCTACCGAAACTGGATCACGACCTCGACCACGACCTCGACCTCAACCTCGTCCTCGCCCACGCCCTTGTCCCCGTTCATGGTTAACATCCAATTCACGACGTCGTCTATTTGAAGCAGTAAGTGGGACACGTTGTTGATATTCAAAATCCATATTCTCTGCAAAAATTAATATACCCAAACAAAATAAAATTAAAAAAAAAATAATCGATCCTAGTGCATTACTAATGCTCTTATTCCCTAATTCTATCCCCAAACAAAGCTATACCATTTTTCAATTCCATGTTAGTACCCATTGAAGGTCAATATGAGATTACCACAAATGTAAAAATAATACACAAAAGAAGGGAGAGAGAGAAAAAAAAAAAAAAACCCACTGTTCGGAAGTTGAAAACCAAAAGTATATATACTATTCGGAAGTTGAAATTTGAAACAAAAAATTAATTTCGGAAGTTGATTGTTGTTTGAATTTAATATATTCGGAAGTTGACTGCCGAAATAATCAAAAAGTTTCGGAAACCTACTATTGAAATAAATCATCAATTTCGGATTCCTACTTCTGAACAAATTCCTTAATTTCGGAAACCCAGTTCCGAACGGTTTGTTTAC